TGTCATGGGAGCCCAGAGAGAAAGCATAGTTAGTTTTCTCTTTAGCAAGTAAAGAGCCAGGAGCAACGGGGATGAGGAAGATGATGATCCATTAAAGAGGAAGACCTGCTATGGGCCAGATCCCCAGGAGTTCCAGAAATCTGGAGTTGTCATGTACAAATTAAACCAACTTTTCTCAACCAAACTTGCTTCTGGTCTATGAGTCTTGCTGGAAGAACATAGCTGGGGAGGCTTACACATTTTGAGCATTAAGACAGCAAAGAGTACACAATTCTTTCCCAACATTCTCCTGCCCTAAATTACCAATCGCCTTCCCCATCCAATTACCCCATATGGCAGATTCACATTCTAATGACCTGCTACCAATATCTCTAGTAATTACCTCCTAACATTTTTATATTCATTGATCCAAAATAATTAGAAAACTTAAGAAATCTCTTTTTTTAACTCCCTCAAGTGTTTTAAAGTTTATGAATCTTGAGACTTCACTTATTTGAAACCATCCTAAGCTTCCTTTTAAATATTCTAAAATATTCAGCATTGGGTCATCTTTTTTGTTTCACTTGATGAGAAATGAGTTTCAAATGTCAATGTAACCTTTATCTCTATCCTATAGACACACTGGCTTGGTTCATATAATGTGCTACATCAAAATGTGGCCTGCTAGTTTGTGGTTTACCATGCTGTTTTAGTCCAGCTAATTTAAAATCATGGTTTAGGGTTTAATGTATCATGTGAACCCCACCATTGTGGTTTAATCAATACACCATGATTAAGCACACCCTGGCTTAGCATGTTGTGGGAACAGTTATAGTTAAAGAACATGGCAAAAGATTTTTGTTTTGGAAGTGGTAATTGCAAGCTATATAGCTTTTTAGCAACCTTTACTTCTCTGCTGATTCATCCGTACATTCCATATTCTATCAAGTGAATAGTGCAGGGGGTTATAAGACCTCACATGGAAGATTCTCTTTTTGTCAGATTTGAACTATAAAGCATAATAAAGACTATGAAACTGTATAACAGTCATATAGGTATTGTGCTTGAAAGCTCAAAAAACTTTCTGGTATCTTCTGTAGGACTTTGGAGCTCCACTGGATCAGATTGGGTACCCCATTGGGCTAAGCCATAACATGGCTCTCTTGGCTTGGTTTAGCTTGATGTGTGAACCTGCTATTGTGGCTTGAAAGCCATTGTGGTTTATGGCTTAGTGTTAGGCATGAGCCAGATTATGTCATGTTCAACAAACCATGATGAAAACAAACTATGGTTCAGAATGTTATGTGAATTCAACTCAAAGATCCTTCACTATAACATCCTGCTTATCAATCAACTAGTTGCCACCAAGAAACCCACAAGCTAAGCTTGAAAGAAAAAGCCCTTTATTCACTTATATGAAAGGCACCCCAGTTCTGAAACTGCATATCAATCACAGTAAGCAACTGCTGAAAGACTATTTTGTTTTCATATATCCAGCCCCTTGTTGAAGTTATCAAAGTGAATGGCATCATCACGCTTGTAGTAGTGAATTTCATTATGTGAAATATGACTTTTAATACAGCTGTAATATTGGCTGGTAATCCATCATTCTGGAGGGGCCTCTGGTGAATCCTGAGGATATATAACTGAATCTGTAAAATTATCATTCAGACTACTGGGTGTGGGAAAAAGATAGACAAACAGAAAAGAAGGCTAGATAAGACAATCCAGCAATCTCCAGCTACATTTATTTTAAATTTTAATTTTCTAAACTCCTGAACAAAAGCTGCTGGGGATATGACATCTAAACTCTTGGGCTGGAAAGAAAAATAAGAAACTATCTTTCCTCTCCCTCCTCCACACAGGATCCTGATAAGAAGGCCAAATGTACTGATCAGCCAACACCATTATTTAGGGAGAAAAGCCCCAGGTTTCAGAACAAGGCCCATCATCCAGGAAAAAAGCCTTCAAGGGTTCATTGAACCAGAGGTGTTCAACTTTTAGAAGACTAGGAGCCTCACCCAGCCTTTGAGTAATGTGCGGGAAGCCACACTCCAACCAGGATATAGAGCCAGGACAAAAATATATTTTTATTTAAATTAAATTTAAACTTAATTGAAGTTAAATTAAAATGATTGAACATGCTCAGCTTGCCATGCATTTAATAATGCCTTCTTCTGTCACACTGCAAATTACAATTTTTCAGCAGCAGTTTGGGGACAGTCACACTACTTGGGTGAACAGGTTGTGTACCTGTGCCTTAAACTGCCACAATAGCATATCCCTGCATTGGGCAGGGTTTCAACTAGATGATCTCCAAGATCTCTTCCAGACTTTCTATTTTGTATGATTTATGAATCTGGGTCTGTGGCTTTCAACAAGTGTTTCCCAGGGATTTGTGATTTTCTAGCAAATTCCTCCTGAATGAGCAGCTAAGAATGCAAGGGGAAGGGGGGAATACAAGCTGTTTACTAAGGTTAGGAAGTTTGAAGACTACTATTGGAGGTGAGGAGAAGGAAGAAAGGAGCTGAATAGGAACTCTAAGACCACTTTCTCCTAGTTACCTCTTTGTCTGCAAGTTCCATGCTCTGTTGCGGCTCCATGCTCCCGGCAGATAGAGGTAAGATACCCTTTGTGTATAGAACAAAGATTTTTAAGCCCATAATAAATATATAGACATCTGGGTCTGACTTTTACAGTATGATTTCTATTCTTGTAGGGCCAAACTAAGTGGGATTTTGAAGATGGATTGAAAATCTCTGCTGCCATTTTTTAAAAGCCTTTGGGTGTTGGAAGAGGGTCCAGTTTGGATCAGGATCATGGGCAGGCAACAGCCTTTTCCCCTCTTTGCAGCTGCACCAATTTCCTGCACCAAAATAGATCACCCTCCATAGCTGCTATTATGCAGAAAACACATAGATACCTTATTACCCGCAAAAGGAAGAGAAAATTCAGATCAAGGCCAAATATGTGGGTGGTGGGAATAGTTCAGTTTCTCCTGCCCTTCATCATGTCTCCAGATCGTCCCCTCCAAAAGTTGCATACAACAAAAGACATAGATGATGCTTTCATGCTTTGATCTCTTCATCTGAATTGCATAGATTGTATTGCTCATTATAGCCACAGGAACCCACTAAGTACCTGGAAATTAGTAGTAGGTCCTAGTAAATGGGGGGTGGAGGGAGGAATTGTAGTCCAACTCTCTGTGTAAAAGTTTGAATGTGACACATCCTTTAGAGATCTGAAGGGTGAATGCTTGCTTTGAATTCTATGCATATTACAAGCAGAAACCTAATTATGCTCAGAAAAGATCTAGTACTAAAATAGAGGAAGCCATTTCATATCTGTAAAACTATCCAAATGATAACATCCTATTGATAAAATTGAAATGAATCCTTGCTACTCACCACTTGCACTTCACACAAGGGGGCTCTCTCCAATACAGATTCCCATAGTCAGGAAGTATACAATGATCTTCTAACAGAAAGCTTTCATCCACCTTTCCTAGTATGCTCAGTAATATTGAGACCTTCTCCTAATAGGGGAGTCAGGTGCTTTTAATTAAATTAATTAAATAGGGGGACGGCAAGTGGGAAAGCAAAGCACCAGCTTCTAGCATCATTTTCATTTCCAGAATGTCCCTTGGCCCCACTCAGACTGCATTGTCTTGCTTAGAAAAGAAAAACAGTAGATGTTATAGCTACTTTTTTCTTTGTTCATGGGCTTATGTGTCTAGAAAGATGGAGCACATCCTGGAGGGCAAGTTTGCCTTCCAATAAATATGTGTTTTGTGGTTAGCTGCACCCAACCTGGAAGACATTTTGTGAATAGGCAAGCCTCAAAGAAATGGTTGCCTACTCCCACCCAATTAGCTTGCCAATTATATGATTTTTTTCCCCTTAAATAACATTTTGTTTTACCTTGTATTACTTTTGCAGGCATTTCATCAGAGAGCACCAAGGGCCCAGAACAGATACTATCAAGTTTATTTCTAACTTGACTGATTCTTAGATTTCAAGGTACCTCAGAGAAGAGAGAAACCAAACCAAAGCTCACCGTTTTGTTTGTGGGCAGGGCTGGAGGCCACAGGTTTGGTTATTGCCTGGCCATGGTTTGTCCCTGCACATATAATCTGGATATGCTTCATTATCAATGGTGCAAAAGACGAGACGAGACTGATAACCTGCAGAGGACAGAAAAACAACAGCAACCAAAGATGGTACATACGAACAGATAATTAGCAAGAAGATTAGTAGCATAATATTTCCAAAGCAATCAAGTATTATCATCTAACAGATAAACATTAGATAGAGCTCAGCATCCAATGAGTTCTGTTTTCATATTCCCACACAAGCGATGTGATTGAAATCAAGGTAAGAGGCTTAGCACTGGCCTGAAGAGAGGAA